ATGTATTCGTTACTTCGGATCTGACTACCCGTATAAAAATATTCGTTACTCGTTACTTTCGTTACTGTGATACGAATCTACAGAACGCGCATCGTGTGGGCCTCGCACACGTCTATGCAGATGCGGAATTGATGTCGGTAACTAATCGTACGTACGGATTGCTTCGGTTGTTAGGTTTTGGTACTGTCTAACAGATTAGCATCAAGGCCACACTCGCATTTCGCATCGCTCAACGGGCCATCTCGCATACCGAACCGGTGGTGGTATGTATTATCAAGTATTATTATTGTGCGTTATGCGACGATGCGGATGCGAGTAACGAAATTTAAAATGCAGTAACGAATTCGTATTTCGTATCTGACCGACTACCCGTTACTGAGTAACGAATACATACGGTTTGCCACAGCTCTAATCTTCAGTCGCAGTCTCTGATTTCTTGGAGTGTTTGATGATAACACATTACTCGTTTGAATTCGTGCAGTTACACAAGGTAGAAAAACAGATGGTTGACTATGCACTTGTTCAATAAATTCTACTTCTGCTGAAGTTAAGGGTAGACACAAGTTGTCTTTGCCTTCTTCGCCATGAACAACAAATTCCTCTAAAAAAACAAAAAAAAAACTAAATTTTTATCAGATCAACTAGTGTCAAGAAGGTGCATCATTTGTCAGAATTAAATGTTTAAATCACACTTTTTAGCCAGGAAATTTAAAATAATTTTATAAAATGTAAATATATTTCTGTGCCTAGGAGGTAAACTGCACTGTCATTCTAGTCAACTTTTTAGTACAGCAGATTAAATGTTAAGTTATTAAATTACAACTAGATATGCATTTAGACACCCATTTGTTATCACAATATTTATATTTTTTACTAACCTTGTCATATATGTGCTAAAGTGTTGGTCTCTTGTGCTCGTGGCTCATTCAGGTGAAGACCATAAATAGAGAGAGAAGAAGAAAGGGAAGAAGAGCGCGCCATTCGGTAAAGCATGAGCGATGACAAAGGTCACCTTATTTTCGAATCCTGTATAACAATTATTAAAACTACCAAATAAAATGTTTTAAAGTATATTACATGAGTAATCTATTACAAACCTAACTACTAAAACTACTTTATTTTAATCTGCATAAGTTGTTGTATGTCAACATAGTGCAGTTTACCTCCAAGGTAGTTCTACAAAATGGAATGTATGGGTTGATTTTCTAAGATTATTAGTACTTATCATTTTATTTTTTAAACTACTAAATGTAATGTAAAAAAATGACAAGACGAGTAGCAAACTTATTGTAACATTTAACTATAAATTGTATTTATTTACCTTGCAAAACTGTGAATCTTTTCGTAGGTTCTGAATGGGGAAATACTGATGGGAGTGCATTTGCTAATAATCGTTTTCTTGTTCCTGACTGATAAACGAATTTATCCTGGAACTGTAGTTCACAAATTTTGTTATTTTTACTTAAGTGTTCAACACCCTTTCCCAATAAGTTCTCTCTATTTGCTGCCTTAAGCCACAATTCAAGTCTGAAAAATACATACAATCATTGTACTACCATGTTATGGCAAGGTCAATTCCTATTTCACACTCAAGGTTTCATACCTACCTCACTGGATCTTTCACAAAAGTGAACAAAATCCTTTTTGCCACCTGTTCTTGAGGTACATCCACGATAAATACAAGTATATCCTCCTTCTCTTTGACGCGGCATTGTTTATAAACCTAATCTTAATACGTACAATAAAGTCTTAAATTAACAACTCCACAATTAAAAACATCAACAAAAACTAAAAAACGTAGAAGTTATCAGAATATTCGCTAAAAACAACCAAAAATCCAAAACGACAAATAAAGGCACAACAGGAAAAAAATATTGATTTTCTAACAGCGACAGCAGTAACAGCTTCGTTCATCTGCTATAAAAGTGTGCACTGTTGCACTTCGAACAAGTAACAAATCTACGGTTCAATTTTGACAATGCTCCACCATAAAAAAGGTGTGGCTTCAGTTGCTAGGTTCCTGTTTTAGCCCTATGTTTCTTTTCTGTATTGTTCTTTATCCTGTGATATAACTGACAATAGTAATGACGATTATATATAACGAAAATAACATAACAGTGTCGTAGTGGACAATACAAAAGTGTAGGTAATATTTATATAACACCTACTAAAAAAGTGAAGATCGTATTTTTACGTACGATCTCACTGATTACATTACATTATGAAACTTTAAATTAACACATAAGTAATCTATGACTGTCACCTGAAAGTAATTGAAATTTTGCATGCAAGCTTTTCTTATGCCATGATAGTCGGTGTACAAAATAACCATGGTCAAAATCACGATAAGTCAGAACGAAAATGACTGCCTTCAGAAATTATGAACGGCCTATGAATCTTTGCAAGTAGTTTTTGATTTTTATTGTTGCAGATATTTAAATAAACCTACTAAAAAAGTAAAGATCATATTTCTACGTACGATCTCACTGATGCAATCGTAGATCGTACAGAGAGTTAAAAAATCGTATAAATACGATTTAAATTGTACGGTTGGCAACACTGAGACAGATAGTAGACGTGGACAGCAGTGGCCAGTTTGTAAATATAAATGTCAGTTTTATGTTTATCGAATAATCCTGAATTTAAATTTTAAATTTTGAGTTCATGATTATGTTATCCTCTAGATGATTTTAGCGAAATAGTTGTGGCTGTTTTTGTGTGAAATTTAAGGACAATAGTTATATTTTGTAATATTGCAATAAGTCGGAGAACGTATTGCATTAGTAACACATGCCACATGAACAAATTTAACAACCCCAATGTGGCGTTCTTTAATTAACCAAAGTAGGTAAGATCTATTCATGTAAGTAACACAAATAGTAATCAACTTTTGTCACAAAGGAGATATTTATGTATTATTTATTGTTTTAGAACAAGAAAATGGTTTCAAAACGTTAGAAAGAAGATTTGATATAGGAAGAAAAATATCTGAATTCCCATTATTGAAGTTGCACTCAACATTTTTAAATAAGATACCATTGGCCATTCATTTGGAAAATAAAAAAAAATACAATGTTACAAATAACAACCAAAAATTAAAAAATATTTGTCATGAATATAGATTTACAATAATTAATCGATAATACTGTAAGTGTAGTATTCTTTTTAATAAATTGGCGTAAATACATTGTTTAAATTTATTTACAAGAACATCAGAGTGCAGTCGATATTTATACAACTTTTGTTATCAGGTTTTTAAATTTTCACTGCGTTGTTTGATATCGATGAAAGCACCACAGTGGGTCAGATGGTTAGATTATACAAACCTTAGATGAAACAAAAGACACTGCGCATAATCCCATTTCAAAATTATTTACACCCACCAATCACAGTTGAGAACATCACATGTCAGAGCGTTGTCCATCCAAATTAAATGTGTCAACGCGAATTAATTTGGTATTTTAGTGACTCAAATTTTAGAAATTAATGTTGAAAATGCCAAGATGTGTTGTTATACGATCAAACGAAGACATGAAGTTCGATCGTAATTATATGAAGCACTTCATTCGAATAGATTACTACTTGTAGTACCGCTTTCGGTGCTAGATGGCGCCTATATTTAAAGAATTCTAAAAAACAGGAAACCTACCTGTCATTCCTTACTGTTTTCAGATAGAGGGATCTCGTATCACTAAGTTCAAAGTTCCAAACCACTGATTTGTAATACAAATCAGGGTACAAAACAAAAAAATGTTTAATGTGGGCCTAAATTCAAAAGTTGTTAATTTAGGGGGGAAAAGGGTGGGAAGTAATCTATTCGAATGAAGGGCTTCATATAATTACGATCGAACTTCATGTCTTCGTTTGATCGTATAATTATATTTCAGCACTTCATTCTTCATAGATTACTACTTGTAGTTGTTCAGAGTACCATTTTTTTGTTCTACTCCAACAATGAGTAAATCTTTATTTTAAAGAAAAAAACAAAAAATATCTATAAAACATAGAAAACTCTTACAACTAGTGTTACAAAATTGTGAATGTTTACAATACTGTATTTAAAATAGTCTTTGCAAAATCATCAGATGATTTATTATTATTAATGGGTTTATTATAAAATTTTAAAAATGTTTGAGATTCCTTAGTCCATCCTGCAGTGTTTCTGATGACATCAATTGGTACTCCTCCCCTAAATGCACAGGAGGTAGATGCATGTCTTACTGAATATGCGGTGAACATACCGGTGTCAACTCCAGCTTTGCTAAGAGTTTCCTTCATCCATCTACTGAGAGTCTGACTAGTAGCTCTATGGTGTGGTCTACCAATAGTTAGGATTAAATACTCCTGTTCTTCCCGTATTGAAGCAGTTCTTTCTATGTATGTATTCAGTGCACTGACTAAACAAATCTCAGGTTTTTCGTGAAACGTTTTAAAATGTAAATAAGGCTGAAACCTACCTGGTGCAGATGTCTTAATGTTTTCTGGGACGAAGATTTGAACACCTCCATCAGCTGTGAAAATCACATTCTCAACCTTTATTAGAGATAAGGTTTGAAATCTTTGGGCCGTTATTATGGCCAGGAGGGCCAATATCTTTTTTGTTAGTAGTTCTAAAGATACCTGCTCATTTGGGTATATTTTCTCTAAGCAACTTAAGAGGGTCTGCGGATTCCATGTAACATTGTACTTTCTCTTTGGTGTTCGAAGCCTCGATATACCCTTCAGATACCTTCTTATTAAAATGTTACTTCCCAACCCCTCTGGCAAAATAAGAGCCAGTGCTGAACGAATATTATTAAATGAACCATACTTAAAAGACTTTTTTTGATAAATGTCCTGAAAAAATGAAATCACATCCGTTGCTGAGGCTTCAAATTTTCTGATTTCATGCTCATTACAATAAGTCCACCATAACTTGTAAGCTGTGTTATATTGTTTCTTTGTCGAATCAGAGAGAGAATCTAAAAGAACATCCACGCAATTTTCCGGGATTTTCTTAATTAGGAAAGCTTTCCTGAGAGTTTCCCCACTACCAGGGTAAGATTCTTTACAGGAAATGATTTTCTGAAAGGAGAAAATAATAATTTTGAATTAGAGCCGAGATTTAGTGGTTCTTCTATCAATAATTTTTTAAAAATGGTGTACCAAGCCTGAGAAGGCCAATAGGGTACGACCAGTAACCCACAAGCCTGATCTGTTATTATTTTCTTTAAAACTCTTAATATCAGAGAAAATGGAGGAAAAGCATAAAAGAAATGTTCGTGCCAAGAAATGGTAAAAGCATCGATTCCAGCGGCATAGGGATCTCTGTTTAGTGACATATAAATATCACATTTCTTATTAATATTAGAAGCAAATAAGTCAATTGTTGGCTTTCCAAAATGATTTGCGATTGCTTGGTATGCTCCGTGTTCAAGCTCCCATTCTGTTTCAGTGGAAATTTTTCGAGAAGCTTTATCAGCTAAATTTTCGGTAGTACAAACATATGATGCATGAATCCAGATGTCTCTGTCTTCGCACCAGCTCCAAATGGTTTGAGCTAACTTGTTTAAATGTTGATGCCTTACACTGCCTTGGTGATTAATATATGATAAGGCTGTAATGTTATCTACACGAATAAGTAAATTACAGGAGCTTAAATTAGTAGCAAAACATTTTAAACCATAGTAAACCGCTAACAGTTCTAAAAAATTTATATGATATTCCTTTTCACCTTCATTCCACCACCCGTTGGTTTCCTCCCCCTGGCAATAAGCACCCCAACCAATCCTAGATGAATCTGTAAATATTTCTAAATGAAAGTTGTCCTCTTTTATATGTTGACCAGCTGATGGTAGTTTGCACAGCCACCAATCCAAGTCAGCAGCAATAGCTGGATGATTTATAACCATTCTCTTATTATAATCCTGGCCACATAATTTCAGTGCTCTTAGTTTCTCCCTTTCCAAACTTTTGATATGAACTAAACCATATTTTACAGTTGGAAGGGCAGATACCAAAAGACCTATTAAATGAGCAAATAATTTAATTTTGCAATGTTCTAGATGTAGGATTTTTTTAATGGTGTCTGAAATCTTAACCCTTTTTTCAAGAGGGAGTTCAATGGTCATGGAAACTGAATTAAAATCAAAACCAAGAAATCTACAAAATTGTTTAGGGTCCAAAGAACTCTTTGTATAGTTAATTAGGAAACCTAGAGACTCCAATAAGGCTACTACTGTCTTTGTATCTATTATACCCTGTTGTTTTAACTCTGCAATAATTAGAAAGTCATCTAAGTAAATCATAGCTGTAATACCAATGTCATGAATATGGGATATCACTGGTTTCATCAACTTTGTATATACCCAAGGTGCACTGCACAAGCCAAACGGCATGCACGTAAATTCAAATAAATTACCTTCATATTTAAATCTCAAAAGCCGTCTGTGGGCGGAATTAATTGGGATGAGAAAATAAGCATCCTTGAGGTCTACTGTAGTCATAAACCAACCCTTTTGCAATAGTTTAGATGCTGTTCTCCAATCCTCCATTTTGAAATGCTCTTGTTTAAGAAAAGAATTTAACTTTTTTAAGTTTAATACGAACCTTTTAGAGCCATTAGACTTATCTACCAGAAAAAAGGATGATAAAAACTGATTTTTACAAGGCTGGCAGTTTACAATAACTCCTTTACTTATCAGTTCTTTCAAGCTTTCCTTCATTTCATCTGAACTTTTTCTGTGAAAATCTACTCTGGCTTGTTGGGGGCATTGAATAAAATTTAGTTTATATCCTCCCAACCACTCCAAAATAAGGGGGTTACAATTTAAATGTTCCCATTGGAGCTTAAAATTTTTTAAACGACCAGCTAACACACTCATTTTTAATATTTTTGTCTCTTGTCTTGATATCTCTTGGTTTTCAGAGGTCTTGGCCTGTAGTACCGTGACTCCCTCACAGCTCGCGGTAGGTCCTTCTGGTTTAAATTACCAGTCTTTTGTTTAGGGACTGTCGAAGTTCGTTTATTTTGTTCATAAGGAGTGCCCCGTTTTAGGTCTATACTGCTTCTCTCTAAATCTTTTAAAACCTTGCGTTTTTCTGAAAAATCTGCACCAAATAATTTTGAATCAATTTGACTTTCAAGGGCTAGTTGCCTCACAGATTTATTCAGCTGACCTACAATTGCATACCTGCGACTTAAGGATAAATTCCTCTGTAAATTAACTAGAATTTTGCTTGCATCAGTAAGGCCCCTTATTAATGTATTACCAAATTCATTATTTTCTTTGAGAATGCTGTTAATTGTTACCCCAATAGCTGTGATTCCAGCTTGTAATTGAGTCTGAGCCTGTATTTGGTATTTATCGCGCTTTTGAGACATAGGTGTTATGGCTCGTGAAATTTCCAAATTTAATTCCGGTGCTTCTATGTTAGGAAAATTATTTGGGGATGGGTACTTTTTTAGCAGTTCTGCTAAATCTTCTTTCTCCATGCCATTTGTCAATATATAAGACCACCTTTTTATCACCTCGCTATGGAGGTCTGCAGCTTTTGCTGTTATAGCCTGAGGATCATCGCCTAAACATTCTAATATGCTATCGTCTAACTTTTCGTCATTGTGGATTGTTAGAATACCTTCTTGATTGACCTCTGCATTGCGCGAAACTTGATTATGCTCTGCTGGTCCTGCCGAGCCTCTTACAGGGCTGCGATCATTGGACCCAGAGTCTTGCCCAGAGCTGGGACTTTTTTCAATCAATTGAATGTCTTCGTAACAATGATGAGCTGCGGCTTCGGTGAGAGGAAACATACGAGGACCTTGAGGGTGTTCTATTTTCTAGTGCCCGTTCCAGTTTTAAAAGTCTTTTTTCAAGGTCAGATCTAGAGAACCTATGTTTCTTTGAAACTGATCTAGACCTTGATCTAGACCGGTTCTTTCTCTTTCCCATATTCCTAAAAACCTAAAAGGAACTAAATTACGTAAAATACTTACCAGAGGTATCACTTTGAAAAATAAATTAAGAAAAAATAAGTAATAATTTAATACCCCCTGGCTACCATCAAACGCCAAAAACGAAAGTGATACGAGATCCCTCTATCTGAAAACAGTAAGGAATGACAGGTAGGTTTCCTGTTTTTTAGAATTCTTTAAATATAGGCGCCATCTAGCACCGAAAGCGGTACTACAAGTAGTAATATATGAAGAATGAAGTGCTGAAATATAATAAAAAGCATTATTTATAATAAAAGTGCAAAATGTGACGGAGATAAAAGAAACTTACATTTATTTCGGTGAGATATTTAATTTTTAAAGATTCTGTCAACGTCCATATTTGTTGATTTGAAAATAAACAGAATAGGACTTGGTCATTGGTACTTGTTATAGATAGCAAATAAAGGTTATTATTATAAACTGTTTACTATTTCTTGTTTCATGGGGAATCTTTTTTCAGGAAGTGGAAAGAGTAACATACAATCAAATACAAAAATATCAATTTCATTGCCAATTTATTCGTTTCAAACTTCACAACTAGTTTCAATAGTTTTGTCAAAACTATTTATTTAGTATCTTTCTATAACAGTGTTACTCAAAGTGTGCTCCACGGAGCCCTGGAGCTCCGCAAAGCCTTTATGAGGGCTCCGCGAAGAAAATAATCATAATAAAAAACGGTACTATCGCCACAAAATGGAAGGGCCTGGCTTGAGGACCTTTTTTTTTGAGAAGTGCTTTTTTTTAAGTCACTAAGAGGAAGGAGGATATGATTTTGCTTAAGGATTTTTTTTATTTTATTTTTTATGGGTTAAATGGATTTGGGATAATTCTTGCAAGGAATCTTTGGAATTAATCAAAAATAAATTAACAACAAATAATGTTCTTGTGCATTTTCAGCCTGAGTTGCCAATAAAATTAATCGTAGATGCAAGTGTGGGAATAAGGGCCATGATATGTCATGTTTTTGAAAAAAATATTGAGAAATCTATAGCTTCTGCTTTGCGTAACTTATCAAAGTCCGAACAAAAATATTCCCAAATTGAAAGAGAGGGCCTTGCAATAATTTTTGGCTTAAATAAATTTAATGAATATTTATATGGACATTTTTTTATCCTAGTTACAGATCACTTACCTCTGGAAGGAAAGAAGCCAATGCTTAACAACGACCAGCTTTATCGCAGTTAACATCTGATCCACTATGTGGCGCTTTCATCGATATCAAACAACGCAGCGGGAAATTTAAAGACCTGATAATAAAGATTGCATAAATATCGACTGCACTCTCATGTTCTTGTAAATAAACTTTAACAATGTAATTACGCTAAATTATTTATTAAAAAGAATACTACACTTACTGTCTATTATCGATTAATTATTGTAAATCTATATTTATGACAAATATTTTTTAATTTTTGATTGTTATTTGTAACACTGCATTTTTGTTCTTATTTTGGTATCTTATTTAAAAATGTTGAGTGCAAATTCAATAATGGGAATTCAGATATTTTTCTTCCTATATCAAATCTTCTTTCTAACGTTTTGAAGCCATTTTCTTGTTCTAAAACAATAAATAATATATAAAAAAATACTTTGTGACAAAAGTTGATTACTATTTGTGTTACTTACATGAACAGATCTTGCCTACTTTGGTTAATTAAAGAACGCCACATTGAGGTTGTTAAATTTGTTCATGTGGCATGTGTTACTAATGCAATACGTTCTCCGACTTTTTGTAATATTACAAAATATAATTATTGTCCTTAAATTTCACACAAAAACAGCCACAACTATTTCGCTAAAATCATCTATAGGATAACACAATCATGAACTCAAAATTTAAAATTTAAATTCAGGAATATTCGATAAACATAAAACTGACATTTATATTTACAAACTGTCCACAGGAGTGCGTTTAGAAACCACGCACGGCGCGTCTGGACCCTATTCTAATGTATGTGGTGAGACGCGCCGTGCGGGGTTTCTAAACGCACTCCTGCTGTCCACGTCTACTATCTGTCTCAGTGTTGCCAACCGTACAATTTAAATCGTATTTATACGATTTTTTTAACTCTCTGTACGATGTACGATTGCATCAGTGAGATCGTACGTAGAAATATGATCTTTACTTTTTTAGTAGGTTTATTTAAATATCTGCAACAACTTCAGAATATAAAACAATAAAAATCAAAAACTACTTGCAAAGATTCATAGGCCGTTCATAATTTCTGAAGGCAGTCATTTTCGTTCTGACTTATCGTGATTTTGACCATGGTTATTTTGTACACCGACTATCATGGCATAAGAAAAGCTTGCATGCAAAATTTCAATCACTTTCAGGTGACAGTCATAGATTACTTATGTGTTAATTTAAAGTTTCATAATGTATTTTCTTTAGTTGTTTTTTTTTTTCGTTGTAAACATTTTTATAAATAGATAAATAAATTATCATGTCAAAGCTTTTTTTTTTCATTCCAATTAAGTGATATTATGCTATGCATGTATCTATTGTACAATTTTTTTTGTCAAAATATCATTTTTCTACTCTACTTATACGATGTCTCAAAAAAAATATTTGGCAACACTGGTCTCTCTACAAACGACGTAGACCTGTAGTTAACATCTGAGACGCTAGATGACGCCATCGTTGCTACGGTCGTTGCGTTTCCAATCTTTATGTCCCTTATCTCTGACCAGTTACGAAATGAAAACAAACAAAACTGCGTCTTTTATGGTTTTTAAGTCGAAAAATCAAAAAATCGAAAAATCGAAAAATCGAAAAATCGAAAAATCGAAAAATCGAAAAATCGAAAAATCGAAAAATCGAAAAATCGAAAAATCGAAAAATCGAAAAATCGAAAAATCGAAAAATCGAAAAATCGAAAAATCGAAAAATTGAAAAATCGAAAAATCAAAAAATCGAAAAATCGAAAAATCGAAAAATCGAAAAATCGAAAAATCGAAAAATCGAAAAATCGAAAAATCGAAAAATCGAAAAATCGAAAAATCGAAAAATCGAAAAATCGAAAAATCGAAAAATCGAAAAATCGAAAAATCGAAAAATCGAAAAATCGAAAAATCGAAAAATCGAAAAATCGAAAAATCGAAAAATCGAAAAATCGAAAAATCGAAAAATCGAAAAATCGAAAAATCGAAAAATCGAAAAATCGAAAAATCGAAAAATCGAAAAATCGAAAAATCAAAAAATCGAAAAATCGAAAAATCGAAAAATCGAAATATCGAAAAATCAAAAAATTGAAAAATTGAAAAATCGAAAAATCGAAAAATCGAAAAATCGAAAAATCGAAAAATCGAAAAATCAAAAAATCGAAAAATCGAAAAATCGAAAAATCGAAAAATCGAAAAATCGAAAAATCGAAAAATCGAAAAATCGAAAAATCGAAAAATCGAAAAATCGAAAAATCGAAAAATCGAAAAATCGAAAAATCGAAAAATCGAAAAAGCGAAAAATCGAAAAATCGAAAAATCGAAAAATCGAAAAATCGAAAAATCGAAAAATCGAAAAATCGAAAAATCGAAAAATCGAAAAATCGAAAAATCGAAAAATCGAAAAATCGAAAAATCGAAAAATCGAAAAATCGAAAAATCGAAAAATCGAAAAATCGAAAAATCGAAAAATCGAAAAATCGAAAAATCGAAAAATCGAAAAATCGAAAAATCGAAAAATCGAAAAATCGAAAAATCAAAAAATCGAAAAATCGAAAAATCGAAAAATCGAAAAATCGAAAAATCGAAAAATCGAAAAATCGAAAAATCGAAAAATCGAAAAATCGAAAAATCGAAAAATCGAAAAATCGAAAAATCGAAAAATCGAAAAATCGAAAAATCGAAAAATCGAAAAATCGAAAAATCGAAAAATCGAAAAATCGAAAAATCGAAAAACGAAAAATCGAAAAATCGAAAATTTGAAAAATCGAAAAATCGAAAAATCGGAAAATCAAGAAATTGAGAAATCAAGAAATCGAGAAATTGAAAAATAAAAAATCCAAAAAATTGCATTTTATTTTTTAAATAATTGAACACCGTTATTGAAACAATTTTTTTTTTTAATTTCTCGCGGGTCATGTCAAAAATTAGATCGGCAACACTGCACATGTCCCTTATTTTTATTATTACTAATGAAAAAAAAAACTTCGTTATTATTACTATTAAAAAAAAAACGTCATAGGGCAATCAAATACAAAAATTTTCTGAAATATTTGATTGGAAGCACCTACAAAAGAATGATGGTGAATCATTTTTCAACACAATTTTATAAATCAATCAAAGTTAGAACAAATCTTGTATGTAAACACGTTACGAAATACCGTTTTGTGTAACTAGTTCATTTTGCGCTCGTCCCGCAAATATTTACTCGTTACACAAAATAAGGCATTTCGTAACTGGTTACATAAATAGCTATTAATTGACTTCCTAATATTTTAAATCATTGAACGGTATTTTCCTTAAATAATTAAATCATAATTAGCGGCATATAAGTACCAAAACATTTTTTCTTTTCGAAGAGTAGGCTTATGTCAAATAAACTTAAAATATTATAACGAACGAAAAGGTAACCCATTTCTAATAAAATTTAATTATTTATTTTATTTTGGTGTGATTTTAGAAAAAAATCTTGTGTGTAATTCGAGCAAAAAGTACTTTGGCTGTTTCGATAACTTTTTGTCTCAACAGCTATTTTGTTACAGTAATTTTATAAACTTTTACTTTATGGTCGATTTCAACGTTTTGTTAAACGAAGTTTAAAATACTAAACGAAGATTAAAATGACATTTTTATATTAACAAAAACAAAGTTTA